CCAATGGCAACCGCAGCAGCAGCAGCAGCAGCAGCAGCAGCAGCCCAGCCAGCCCCCATGGCAGCAGCAGCAGCAGCAGCAGCAGCAGCAGCAGCTGCAGCAGCAGCCCAGGGCGGGCAAAGGCGGCCAGGCCAGTTCCAGCAAAGCGGACCAGAGGGCTCAAAAAGTCATTGACTCCGTGGCAGCCTGCACGCTGGACGAGGCGACCTCCCACCCAAAGTGGCAGGCGCCCCCAGCTGACCGCGCAGGCATCCAGAAGTTCCTGAGCAGTGCGGACCAGAGGCTGAGGAAACTCGGCGACCTGGTCGTCGCCAAGCAGGCCGCGGGCGACAGCACGAAGGAGCAGCTGATGGAAATCTCGGTCATCAAATACCAGAAGCTGGTCACGAGGAGGCCGAATGACCAGCTGCAGGTGCTCAGCAGGAGGCGCAAGGCCGTCAAACTTGAAGTCATCGCCCTAGAGGCCAAGACGAACGAGCTGCGGGACGACCTCAAGGCCAAGCAGCAGGAATTGAGGCAGCTCGAGTCCAACATCGCCGACGTGCGGGCCGTGCTCGCCGACGGCGGCGCGGCGGACGACGAGGGCGACTGGGACACGGACGGGTTCGGCTTGGCACCGAGCTGGGATGCCTTCCACAAGGCCGTTATCGACAGGCGCCTGCACAGCGAAGCACCTGGTGACGGATTCCCAGCTTGGCCAGCGGGAGTGGTGGGGCGATCGCCACGCTCAAGAGCCAGCTCGGCAGGCAGCGCAACCAGAGGCTTCGCGATCAGGTGGCCAAGGCGAATGCGGAGCGGGCCCACCAGCAGCAGCGCCATGCCGAAGCCGAGCAAGAGTTTGCTGCCGAGCTGGCGGAAGTCAGGAGGGTCGCCCGAGAACAAGCACTCCGCCACAACGGCGAGCAGGCGAAACTCAGGCTGGCACTCAAGGAGGAGTCAGAGCAGCTGCAGCGCATCACCGCAGCGGAGAGCGCAGCCCAGCAGCAGCAGCAGCAGCAGCAACACAAGGCCCTCCGCCATGAGATCAAGAAGCAACAAGCCGAGCAGCTCGAGTTCGCGACGCAGATGGAGGCCAGGATAATCAGCCATGACACAGCCTTCAGTCAAGCCAAGGCAGAGGCCGAAGCTGCGACCCAGCGGGCAAATCACCTGCATGAGCAGCTTGAACAAGTTCGAGCGGAGCACAGGGAGAAGCCGCAACCCCAGGACAGGGTCTACCAAGACCTGCCGCGGGCAAGAGCCGAGGCGCAAGAGGCATTGCGAAGGGCCCAGCACGAGAGCGCCCAAGCGACAGCTACAGCGGGCACTCTCAAGCAGCAGCTCACCAGGCAGGAGCTGGTCATGGAAGCGAAGTTCCAGGAGGCCAAAAAGAACCACGCCCTCGAGCTTGAAGCTGCCGCCGAATCAGCCAGGGTCCAGGCAATCGCCCAGGCCCAAGTGGTTGCCAATGCCAAGGGAAAAGGGGCCCTCCCGCCGGCAGAAGCGGCCAGGCTGCAAGGGATCGTCCAGACAGCAGCACGGCAGCAGGAGCGGCTCAAGCAGACCAAAAGCGAGCTCGAGGCAGCTGAAGCCCGCATGCACGAGCTCCAGCAATACTCCAAGCTTGAGGCGGGCGCTGCGCAGCGTGCAGTACAAGTGGCATACCATGAAGCAGCGGAGCTGAGAAGCGCCAACGAGGAGCGGCAAATCCCGCACGAGGTGCAGGCATTGCAGTTCGCCCTGCTAAGGACTAGAGCAGAGGAGGAGGAGATCGCGAAGGCCAGCCTGAAGGACAAGGAGGCAATGCGGGCCGAGCTCGAAGGCAGTGCTGAGCGAATAAGGTCGAGTCTCACCCGCCAAGTCATGATAGAAGAGGCGAACGCACATGACTTGCAGCTGCACACAGAGAGCCTGCGACAGGAACTGAGCAGCTACGCGGTGCAGCTGAGCGAGCAAAGGTCCAACGCAGAGATGCAGGAGCAGGCGCTGGAGGAGGAGCTCGCCCAAGCCCTCACCTTCAGGATCGCCAGCATGGAGGCCTCCGCCATGGAAGACTTCGCCAGCCAGCAGAGGACGGGCAGGGAGGAGGCCATTCACCTCGCGCTGCAAGAAAGCCTCCAGCGCTCCAGCACGCTGCACACCGAGCTAGACGCCATCGCAAAGAAGGAGCAGCAGGGCGCGTCGGAGACAGAGGAGCTAAAGCTGAGAATGCAGAGCCTGGAAGCCATTGCAGCCAGCAGGGAACGTGAACGCAAGGCCATGGTCAACCTGTACGCCGAGATGAGGCAATACGGGCAGGAGGGCTACGACTTCACCAAGAGGGCAGCTCATCACCTCGTCCAAGGGGGCCACCTCCCAACGTCCCAAGAGTCCATGGACGACTACCAGGAGGCCGCTGACCTGTACGAGAAAGCCAGAGGAGCAGCCGAGGCAGCGACCGCCACAGCGGAGCCCCCCGTTGCGACCAATCTCCAAACTGGTGCAGCCGAGGAGCGCCCAGCCAACAGGGGCCGCAGGCAGAGCAGCTCCTCGCCTCGGAGGCCAGCATCAACCAGGTCAGCCAGGTCAGCAGCCCGCCAGACCGACGAAGGCGATGCCCCCCTCATAGAGCGTGACAGGTCCAGGAGCCCCGACAGGCCAGACCCGCACGAGGAGGCAGAAAGATACGAGCGCGAACAAGATGAGTTGCGCAGACAAGCTGCCGAGGAGAAAGCACAATGGGAAGCCGTACAGATGGAGGAGGAGCTGGAGTCCGTAGTGAGGGACCACGAGGCGAAGGAGATCCAAAGGCGCTACTACGAGGAGGCCCCCTTGACCCAGTTCGGCACAGCGGGCACGCAGGACTCTCGAGCGGAGGACGACGGCTCGGAGCATGCGCCGATGATCTACCCCGCCAGGTGGCCGCCCTGGAGCCAGGATCACCCCACACCCGAGGAGGGTGAGGAGATGAGGGGGATCACGCAGCATGAGGCAGACACAGACCTGGCATCCACGTCAAGGGCTAGCTCGGTACCAGCAGAGCAAGGCGACCCTCCTACCCCGACAGCATCTCAGGTAATCTTCATCCCAGCATCGCCAGCGCCACTCAGCGAGAGGTCACTCACGCCCACAGTTCCATTCGGGCATGATGAGCAGCGTGGCCATGGAGGTGGAGAGGGAGCCGACAGCTTCGCATTGACCCCTCCCCCTGCGTCCCAGCAGAACGCGGAGGCGACAGCGGCCAGCATCGAGAGGCAGTACGAGGGCATCGACATCATGACGCGCCAGCACACCTCAGCCGCCGCCGCAGCTGCAGCCCTCGAAGAGGCGTTTGGACCCGCGCCCGCATTTCCAGGAGAAGACATCAGCCAGGCCCACAAGGGTCAGAGGGTAGACTCTGGAGAGTCAGGCATAGCACGTTTTCGTGGCCGAGTGGCCCGCAGGAGGGACGAGACAAGGGGCACAGCAACCCCCTCCCCTCCTGCAACTCCTGGAGCCGAGGAGCAGGCAGCAGCAGCGCCCGCTGAATCCCCCCGAGGGGGGGGGGGGGCCTAGCAGCGCCGCCAGGCTTCAGGCCATGCATGACAGAATTCACTGCCAGGAGGCGGCCGATGAGTCCAACAGGGCAGAGCACGACGGATGTGGGATTTCGTCACGCTCTCCGATCAGTTCGACAGCATCGATCTCCTGGGCAGCATCGGGGAGAGCAGCTGGGGCCCAAAGCCCGCAGCACGGCAGTGGGGTCCTCCACTACGATGCTCGACCTACCTACCACCAGAGGCTTGAAAGCACGGCGGGCCCTGGGGGTAATTGCGACAGCCGTCTCGTAACAAATAGACCAGCGGAGATTCCGACAGTCTCACGCACCAGATCAGGTACTCCCAGGAGTCCAGGGTCCCGAGGGGCCACGACTCCAAGCAGATGTGCTACCGCAACGGGCATCGGCAGTGGGAGGGCCACTCCCAATCGCAGCAGCCAGCATCAACAGCGGTATCAGTCACCTGGGTCTCGAGGGGCCAACGTGACACCACCGCGGCCGACACGAGGGCCGCCCGCCGCGTCTCGAGGGGCGCTAGGCGGCAACCAAGGAGGCACACTACCAGGGATGAGTGATGCATCCGCCAATCTGTCAGCACTCCAGGTCACAAGCCACCAAGATGGCTGCAAGGATGCGTTACCGGCTGCCCTTGCACTCAGTGTGTCCCCCTCCGCCATCCGAGTCCACGAGATCGAGAACGTGGGAAGGACCTTTCTCGACGGTCAAAACTCGGCTGGCAGCGAGGCAGAGGATGGCATGGAGCAATGATACGAGGAGTGGAGGCAAGCGCGCGCAGTCGCAGCCTTCCGATCAGCCCAGCGGAGTGCACGCCGCGCACGGCGCGCTGCGGAGAGCCACAGTCGTCGGGACAACAGCAGCATCCACAACAAGTACCATGCTCTGGCGGTGGATCCAGACCCGACGGACTCAGCAGCTCGACCAGCAGCACCAGTGGCCCCAGTCCCGACGGACCCAAGCAGCTCACCACGGTCCAGCAGGTGGAAGCCAACGCTCCCCTCGGCATCAGCGCGCTCCCACCACGGCACGGGTGCTACCAACCACCCAGACGCCCTGGATGGCGAACCTCATCGTCTACGTGACAGCATGCTCCACGCCCAATCACGCGAGCCCCTGTTCAGTCAGGCCGCGCGGGCTGGATCGGACAACTTGAACTACGATGAGGGGAGCCAAATGCCATCACTACCACCCGTGAAGCGGAGTGCGCCTCAGGCTGGGGCCATATCACCAGCCCCACCCACACGTTCTCCGACACCACAGCCACCTCCAGCCCACATCACCACTACACAAGGTCCCATTCTACAGGGCATGGGGCTGGCGCCAGGCGACGACATCGAGTACTCCCCCGAGTACGTCAATGCAGAGAGGGCCAGGCGTGGCCGAAGGCGACGGCAGTTCCCCACCACGACAGCACGAGAAAGAGGCCAAGCGACAGTGCTGCCAGTTCTCAGCCAAGACCCAGTAGCCGAGACCCTTCGCGGCCGAGGCCGCGTCAACGTCTGCGACGACGTCGACACTACGACCCTGCACAGCATGGCAAGGGTGGCGCTGGAGATGTGCCCATCACGCGAGCTGCCGACCAGGCGGACACACATCTACACGGACGGCAGCTACAACGGCATCCCACATACAGCCGCCTGGGCAGTTGTCATTGTCGACGAGTACGACGACGGGCGCAACTTACGAGGCCCGTTCGGCTTTCGGGGCTTCATTGCTGGCAAGGTCACCGAGACCCTAGACGACATGGCAAACAACGAGAAGGTGACGGCATACACAGCTGAGCTCACGGCAGTACTTTGGGCACTGATGTGGGCCCTTGGTCAAGACACCGACGCGCCCATCGAGATCACGCCCGACGCCCTCAACGTTATCAACCTGGCCAAAGGCGAAGCCCAATGCCACGTACATCCGAGGTTGGGGGCCGCCATTCGCACGCTTGCAGGCCTCCTCCAACAAGCCCGACCTACCCAGTGGCACCATATTAACTCGCACATCGGGCACCCTTGGAACGAGCTCGCAGATGGGATAGCAGATCAAGCTTCGGCCAGCGACCTGATGGACCCGAACATTGCAGCAGTGCAGGCGATCGCTCACAACAAGTTCCTTTCCTGGGAATGGCTGCGATCAGAGCCAGATGCGGTCAAGGCCGCATACCCGCCCTTGCGGAACAAAGACTTCATCATCGAGGCCACCCAGCCGCAGGCAGCCCCAGGAGCGATCCAGAGGCCCATCAGCACCACCACCATCAAGGCCGACCTCAACGTGAATTTGTGCACCTACAACTGCAGATCACTCAAGGCCGCCGTCAGCTTCAAGTCGGGCAAAGGCAAGGCGGCCGGCAAAAGCAAGCAGAGCCTCTCCAAGGTCACGCACCTAGCAGCGCAGTTTGCTGACATGGGCCTGCACGTCGTCGCCCTGCAGGAGACGCAGAGCGAAGGAGACGTCCGCAATGTAGGTGAATATGTTTGCTACTCATCAGGCCACACGCAGCAGAACAGAGGATGCGACATCTGGCTCAACGTCTCCCAACCAATCAGCGCGAGTGGGGCGGCGAAGTACCTAAGTGCCAAAGACGCCCTCGTCCTCCACCAGCACGACAGGCTCTTGATCATCAAGACCCGCGTTGCAGGCACAGACATGGTTATCGCATCAGCATACGCACCCCACGAAGACTCCCACGCGGCGGAGAAGAGAGAATTCTGGGAGTCTGCTCAGCGATTGTCTGACAAGTACCGAGTGGACATCTTCATGGGGGACCTGAACGGGCGTCTTGGCGACTACGAGTCCCCAGGAGTTGGCACCAGTGGGTGCCCAGAAGCGACCAACGGCAATGGCAAGCACATCATCAGCTTCGCTGCCGACACCAACATGGAGGTCATCAACACCACGAGGGATCCAGGCAACAACTCATATACGCACGTCGGATCGAAGGGGCAGCACCACAGGATAGACTACATCCTGCTGAGCTCCTCGATCGCCCCGTACGTCGCGAGCTGCAGCACCGAGCCAGGTCTGGACCGAGGCACAGCTGCACAAGACCACATACCAGTACTAGCCACCCTCAAGTGGGCCGTCTGCAAGACCACCAAGGCCTCAGGACCGAGGCCCGACCTGACCAACTTGAACAATGACGTCGCCAAGGCCAGCTTCAAGGAGATTCTCAAGCAGGCCCCGATCATCCCCTGGGAGGTGGACGTCAACACCCACTGCGAGGAGGCCACCAGGGTCGTCAACGACGCGGCCATCCAGGCCTTCGGCAAGGCCGCCAAGGCAACGAGGAAGCCCTACGCCACCAAGACTACCATGGGCCTGATCCGAGCCAGGCGCCTCGCACTCCGAGTCCACCGCGCAGTGCTCAGAGGAGAAGCCCATGACGACCGACCTGGACGACTAGTAGCCCACGCCCATTCTCTTCGTGCAGGCGAAGTAGGGGACTCACTCTCCCTGTGGAGCAGAGAGCGTGGCGATGACGATGGCACCATCCACGACATCCACCACTACGCGCACCTCCTCCTGAACTGGACAATCTCGCCCATGGTCTACGCCATGGCCATCCTTTCCTTCCTCACCAGGTCTGGGCCCATCGTTGCCGCGGCCGTCGAGAAGGACCGCAGCGCATTCCTCAGTCGGCTTGCCTCGACTGCGTCCTCCGCCTCCGCTGCGAACGACGCTGCGGCCCAGTGGAAGGCTCACCGCGACCTACTAAGGTATGGAGGGAGGAAGGCGAAGTTCCCAGCAGGAAAGCCTATGCGGCTCGACAAGGATGGAGAGGTGATCCACAACTCCCAGGACATGGCGGACCAGGAGCTTAACCATTTCGCGAAGATACAGGCGGGCAAGATCGTGACAGCGGATGATCTTGCCAACAAGTACAATCACGACAGCAAGATCAGGCCCTTCGACGGCATGCTGGATCTCTCCATGGTGATGCCCCTGGCCGTCTGCCAGGCCCAGTTCGCCGCGGCCAAGGCTGGGACGCAAGGAGGCCCCGACGGGCTCACGAACGCTGTCCTCAGGGCGGCCCCCACAGAGGCAGCGAGGCTACTGCACCCCCTCTTCACCAAGGTGGCGACCACCGTGCGGGAGCCGCTGAGCTTCAAGGGTGGAGACCTGGTCGCAATTCCCAAAGGAAAAGGCGACCCAAGGTACCTCCAAGCCTACCGCGAGATCCTCTTAAACAACGTCCTGGGCAAGCACCACCACAAATACCTAAGGACCATGCTCAACACTACCCTCGCCATAGCGCTGGAGGACATCCAGGTTGGCGGCCGGCCCAAGCGAGGAGCGGACATGGCGGCCCTAGCAGCACGCCTCTTCACAGAGAGAAGTCAGGCCCAAGGGAGGTGCTCCATGATAAGCTGCTACGACTGAAAGGAGGCCTTCTACTCGGTTGTAGCCCAGCTGGTTCATGGCATCCCAGGCGAGGAGGACGAAGTCAAGGAGGTGCTAGAGAACCTCGAGGTTCCCCTGTGGGCCCAGCCGCAGCTGGAGCACCTCATGGCCAACCCAGGGATACTCGACACAGTGTTGGACGGCTCCCACCTGGCTGCCCTCATTGCAGAAGGTTACCGCAACAGGTGGACATCACACAGGTTCTCCCAGAACCTTATGGCGCCGCACAAGGGCACGAGGCCTGGCGTGCCCCTGGCCGACGCGGACTTCAATCTGCTATTCGGCCGAGTCCACCGCATGATTGACAGCTACCTTGCGCAGCGAGGGCTACGACCTCAGGGCAAGCCTCTTGACAGCAGCTTCGCATGCGACACCGACCCCACAGATGGGCCACTCCAGGAGCATGAACCTCATGGCCTATCGTTCGTCGACGACCTAACGGGCACGCACGTGTTCACCAGCCCCGACCACATTCAGCATGAGGCCACCGGGTTCTGCGAAGCCGTCTACTGCGCCGCCAGCACCTTCGGCCTCCAGCTGCAGCTCACCAAGACCAAGGTGATGATCGACTTCAGTGGGCCTGGGAGCCGGCAAGCGCGGGCCAGTTTCTACTCCGAGGGAGTGCCGAGGATCGAGGTCCCCCTTGCAGAGAGTTACGTCGAGGTGGTTCGTCACCACAAGCTCCTCGGGACCTACGTGACCGACAATGCATCCCCTGGGGTGGATGTCGCAGTGAAGGTAGCCACTGCAGCGACATCCACGAGGCCTCTCCATCGCGAAGTCCACCGGCGATCAGAGCTGGCCATCAAAGACAAGGCCTACTTAGCCGACAGTGTGGTGCTATCCCAGCTACTATACAAATCGTCTACCTGGCCCGAACTCAGAGCAGGCCAGGCCAGGAATTTCAATAACCAGTATATCGTCAACTACGCTGCCGCGCAAAGGATCACTTGGAAAGTACGACAGAAAAAGGAGGTCACGAACACCCAGATTCTCGAAGGGGTCGACAAGCTGCCCCCAGAGATAGTCCTGCGACTCGAGCGGCTACGACTATTTGGCAGGTGCCTCAACTGGGGACCCCTGCACCTCCGCCGGCTACTTAGCCAAGCCTGGGATGGTAGTTACGGCTGGGTGGCACTGCTCCGCCGCGACCTAGACTGGGTCCGCGACCGCACAGGACCTGACGAGCGTGGTGGAGCATACACGCTCGAGGACTGGAAGGACTGGGCCAGGAACGACTACCAAAGCTACCTCAGCGCAGTAAAGAAAGCTTGCCAACGTGGCAAAGCTCGCCAGTACGATCACGACTACCAAGCTCGATGGCGGCTTCGACTCCAACGGTGGACCAACACGGAAGCCATCTCGCCCTTCCCAGACCAGCACTTCGAGCAGCAGCGCAAGTACCTATGCTACCACTGCGGACGTACCGAAGCCAGTGCAGCAGTGCTACGAGCACACATCACCAAGGACCACACCTCGTCGGGTCATCCTATCTCGTGGGCAACTGGGTCGGTCTGCTACGGATGCGGCATGGATTACCACACTACAAACAGGCTGGTCAAACACTTGCTGAGAGTGCGCAGGTGCGCTCGACATTGGCGAAAGACGCGTCCAGCAATCCTAAGTAGAGCCGAGCTGCAGCACAACCAGCAAATCGTGCGCGACAAGCAGCAGGCGAACCGAAGGGCGGGCAGGCCCATCGACTGGGCAGAGAAGCCTGCAGTCCCTGCTCGTCCTCCAGAAATACATACGGACGAGGACAGCGACGACAGCAACGGCGGCCACTACGAGAGCCTAGAGCTCCCCTTCATCGAGGAGCCACCACCGCCGCCAGCTGCTGTACCTAGGCCCAGACCAGCTCGGACGCTATACGTGCTGCATCTATTCAGCGGCCGTCGCCGAGAGGGAGATGTTCAGGATTGGTTCGACCGCCTCAGCAGTCGGGCTGCTTGCGACATACACATGCTCAGCCTGGACATCGCCAACGACCCGACCTTCGGCGACCTGACATCAGAAGTCGCAGTCAGCAAGTGGCGAGACATGGCACAAGCAGGGAGAATTGCAGGAGTCATCGGCGGACCGCCGTGCGAGACCTGGAGCCGAGCGCGCCACTTGCCCCCCAATGACTGCAGGGGTCGCCCACCAAGACCCCTAAGGAGCAGCAACAGCCTGTGGGGCCTTCGCTACCTTTCCCGTCCAGAGATGGAGCAAGTAGCGACAGGCAACCGCCTATACAGGACACAGCTGGAGCTCATGTACATGTGCCTCAACCTGGGAGTCCCAGGCATGCTCGAGCACCCGTCCGAGCCCACCGAGGAGCACTTCGCCAGCTCCTGGAAGATTCCCGAGACGCGCCACCTCCTGAACCAGCAGGGAGTCGAGCTGATCACATTCGACCAGTGCACCTGTGGAGCGCGTTCGAGGAAGTCCACAAGCCTGATGGCGGTATCCCTACCAACCCTCCGAGCAGAAATCAGCAGACTGCCTGGAAGCGGGAGGTGCTTTCACACGGCCTCCTACCACGCGGAGCTGGCAGGCATCAACGACGACGGCCAGTGGCGCACCGCGGCGGCCAAGGAGTACCCGAACAGGATGTGCCAGGCCATCGCGACCGCACTGGCGAAGCAGATAAGGTGGCGCTTTGGCGAGTCGCCTAGCGACGTCCAGGGGTGGCACATCGACGACGACGTGGCCCACTTCTTCCAGCCGCTCGACCGCTACAAGACCAGGGAGATGGGTCAGGACTACCATCGGGGCCCAGCGAGGCGGAGTGGCTCACCGACCTGGTTGGAAGAGGCAAGGGAGTGGGCCCTGCAGGACCGACCCGACAAGGCAATCGGCAGGACCACCACCTCGACAGGAGCTGTTCGGGCACAGGCTGACAACGCGGATCGCGACGAAGCGCCCTGACGACAAGTACAAAAGAACCAGAACGCAAGTCCTGAGGAAGCCCCGAGTGCGTGGGAACACCTCAGGCTACGTCGCCAAGTTTTGCACAAGTCATCAGGACGCAAGTCCTGGGGAAGCCCCGAATGCGAGGGAACACCCCAGGCACACGTCGCCACGTTTTGCACTTTGACGGACACGGCCGCCGTCCAGTCAGGGCTCAGAGGTACCAGCCAGATTACCCCAACTGCACCAAGTACGAGTCAACGCTGCCCTGGTGAGGCAAGGATCAAACTTCGAGACGGGCTCGAAGGGCGGGGGGGCAGGACGAGGACTGCCCGCGCCTACCAGGGGGGATGGTGAGGGGCAGGGGGGGGGCAGGACGAGTACTGCCCGCGCCCCCGCGGTCCGCCCTAGCTCGCCACCCCCACCATTCCCATGGCGGAGACGGAGCTCCCGAGCGCCCAAGGGCGAAGCATAGGCAGCGTTGATCTTCCTCATCGACAGCAAGAATCACTTGGCCTGGGGTTCGCCCCCACCGAGGGCACCGTGACCCCTAGCCATAGCGGGACGAGGTAGGGCCGCCACGAACCCTACTTGAAGTCGGTGCATGGAGGCCTGAGTGCGCCCACAATCTATTCCACCTACCAGCAACAAGCCGGCCCCCATCGACCCTAACCAGCACGACAATTACCTCATCGGCTGAGACGAGTACCAGAGCCTGAGCCCAACACAGTCAAACAGTTCTACTCGACCAAGGCGACCGAGCCAAGTACAAAGAGCCTACCATCATCGAGACAGACGGCCACTGGATCAGCGATGCCGAGTTGAATGGAGTGAATGGAGCAAATGGAGAAGGCTCATCATACCGATTTCGACCAGCAGGACTGAGTCGAGTACCACAAGCTCGAGGGCGACAGAATCATGCTCTACTACAACACCATCGACCACCGACGTGGCCCAGTGAGGAGGCTGAGCCGTGGGGGTCCCGAGGGACATAATTTGGTGTCACCCCCCTTACCCTCAGCCGCCTCATCTTCCACTTTTGGTTTCCAGGTTCGGGCCTTGTGCTGTGGGGGTAAAGGGGGTGGCACGCCAGGCGAGTCCTGGCCCACCGTGCTCCAAGGCCTGGGCACTGCCGCCCAGGACAGGTGTTGCAGCTGCCAGGCTGATATCCTGGGTGGCAGCGCACCGGGCCTGGGGGCGAGTAGCAGACCATTGGGCCCCGCTCCCTCCTCTTGGGGCCCGCGTTTTGGGGCCCCCGCCGGCCTGTTTCCTCCCTCCTTGCGGGGTCCTCTGGTGCCTGGCCTTTCCCATCTTTAGGGCCTCGCCCCCCCGCTCTTCCTTTGCCCCGAGAGATCCTGGAGGCCCCTTCCTCTCCCCTGGGCGGGGCCCCCTCCCCCCCCCCCCGGCGCCGAAGGCGCCCGCGCGTTGGCCGCGTGCGCGGCTAGGCTCGGGCGCGGAGGCGCCTCGGTCGGCGGCAGCTGCCGCCGTGTTGCGCTTCAGGGATCAAGCCCTTCATGGCGCGGCAAATAGCGGAAAATAGCGGAGGCGGAGGCGGAGGGGGAGGCGGAGGCGGAGGCGGAGGCGGAGGAGGAGGAGGAGGAGGAGGAGGAGGAGGAGGAGGAGGAGGAGGAGGAGGAGGAGAGGAGGCAGGAGGAGGGAGGAGGAGGAGGAGGAGGATTGGCGGAGGAGGCCAGGAGGGTGGAGGGAGGAGGGAGGAGGAGGGGGCGGAGGAGGAGGAGGAGGAGGAGGAGGATCTGAGGAGGAGGCGGAAGGAGGAGGAGGGAGGAGGAGGAGGAGGCGGAGGAGGAGGAGGAGGAGGAGGAGAGGAGGAGGAGGAGGAGGGAGAGGAGGAGGATTGAGGAGGAGGAGGAGGAGGGGAGGAGGAGGAGAGGAGGAGGAGGAGGAGGGAGGAGGAGGAGGAGGAGGAGGAGGAGGAGGAGAGGAGGAGGAGGAGGAGGAGGAGGAGGAGGAGGAGGAGGAGGAGGCGGAGGCGGAGGCGGAGGCGGAGGCGGAGGCGGAGGCGGAGAGGAGGAGGGAGGAGAGGAGGAGGAGGAGGAGGAGGAGGAGGCGGAGGGGGGGTTCTTTTTTTTTACGGATTTAGAGGGGGGGGAGGCGGAGGCGTAGGCGGAGGGCGGAGGAGGAGGAGGAGGAGGAGGAGGAGGAGGAGGAGGAGAGGAGGAGGAGGAGGAGGGGGAGAGGAGGTAGGAGGCGGAGGAGGAGGAGGAAGGGGAGGAGGGAGGAGGAGGAGGGGGAGGAGGAGGAGGAGGAGGAGGAGGAGGGAGGAGGAGGATTGAGGAGGAGGAGGAGGAGGAGGAGGAGGAGGAGGAGGAGGAGGAGGAGGATGGGAGGAGGAGAGGAGGAGGAGGAGGAGTGAGGAGGAGGAGGAGGAGGAGGAGGGGAGGAGTAGGAGGAGGAGGAGGAGAGGAGGGAGGAGGAGGACGAGGAGGGGGAGCAGGAGGAGGAGGAGGAGGAGGAGGAGGAGGAGGGGGAGGCCTCTCATGTCGCCCGCGCCGCCTGCTTCGACGCGAGGCCTTGCGTCCTGGGGAGGGCGCCGCGGCCGCCAGGCCAGACGCCGCCCCGGGCGCGGCGGGCCTGTCGCGGGGTCTGCCGCGGTGCCCGCCTCGCCCAATTCGGGGCGCGGGGCGCCAGGGCATACCGCCGCCTCCTTCCCCTCCTCCTCCTCCTCCTCCTCTCCTCCTGTCCCCTCCTCCTCCTCCTCCTCCTCCTTCCCCTCCTCCTCCTCACATCCTCCTCCTCCTCCTTCCTCCTCCTCCTCCTCCTCCTCCTCCTCCTCCCCCTCCTCCTCCCCCCCCTCCTCCTCCTCCCCCTCCTCCTCCTCCTCCTGGAAGCCGGCGGCCGCCGCCTGGAAGCCGGCCTGCTCCAGCCCGCGTTCCCGCCCGGGCCCCGTGGTTCGGAGGCCGGGCAAGGGCTGCCAAATCCGCGGCTGCTAAAATCGACCTCCGGGAAGTTGTTTTCGTCCTTCCGGGGAGAAGCCCGGGGACTCTTCCGCGGGCCGCGCCTCCTTCCGGGGAGTTGTTTTTTGTTGTTTTGTTTTTCTTTCCGGGAGGGCCGCTTTCGCAGCCACGGTCCTAGCAGCCCTCGCCCAGCTTCCGAGTGGTGTCGTCCACTTGGGCGCGCTCAGAACACGCGGCGCGGCGACAGACCTTGAACTCATCGCTGCGGGGCCCCCGGAGGAGGAGGAGGAGGAGGAGGAGGAGGAGGAGGACGGCGGAGGAGGAGGAGGAGGAGGAGGAGGAGGAGGGAAGTGGAGAGAGGAGGAGGAGGAGGAGGAGGAGGAGGAGGAGGAGGAGGAGGAGGAGGAGGAGGAGGAGGAGGAGGGAGGAGGATGGAGGAGGGAGGGAGGAGGGAGGAGGGGAGGGAGGAGGAGGAGGAGGAGGAGGGAGGAGGAGGAGGGAGGAGGAAGAAGAGGAGGAGGAGGAGGAGGAGGAGGAGGAGGAGGAGGAGGAGGAGAGGAGGAGGAGGAGGAGGGGAGGAGGAGGGAGGAGGAGGCGGAGGAGGGAGGAGGAGGAGGAGGAGGAGGAGGAGGCCCCAGAGGCCTGGACCTCTGCCCCGGGGCCGGCGCCTCGTCCCGAGCCGTGCTCGCCACGGCCCCGGGGCGCGCCGAGGGCCGCCGAGGGCGCCAGCATCTGCCGGGAACCGCCCGTCGCAGCCAGATTTGGCCTTCGGGCCCCAACCCCAGATCTTCGACGACATAAGGGTTAAGTCGGGCCTGTCCCCCTACAGGGGGATCTTCGACGAAAAATTACAAAATACATCAAGACATAGTCCCAAAATAGTCCAAACATATCCTGGGGATTATTTTTTGAGTAGTTGTTTGCCTTTTTGGGGCATGTTTGGGGTATTTTCTATTTTTCTTCGACAATCCCCATGTAGGGGGACACGCTCGACATAATATTAGGGGGCCACATGCGAACCCTACCCCTATCCCCCACGATTTCTGAGGGGGAGGGTGGGGTTCACTTCGCTCGGGAGCGCCCGAGCGAAGGGAACCCCACCCCTCCCCCTCAGAAATCGTGGGGGGTAGAGAAAGGGGTAGGGTTCGCACGCATGGCCCTCTAGATCTGATCTGCTCAACCGTCGGTGTGTCCCGATTTCGGCCCTCAGGGTCCGTCGTCGAGCCCCGGGGCCGTCAAAAACGGATGCAGGGCGAACACATTGCCCCCGGGGAAGCGGTCGGGACCTCTGGGGCCACGGACTGAAAAAAACCCAGTCGGCCGCTCGGGACGATCCGTCGGCTGCTCGGGACGATCCGGGCACCTCCGAGACGGTCTCGGCGAGGCGGAGCTCCTGGCAGGCATCCCGAGGCTGGAAAGCCCCCCGACAAGTTCACGACAACGTCCGCAGACCCGGGCCCTTCATGCCGAAAATCGTCAAATCAACCTCTTCCGTGGTGATTTGCGTTCGGCCACGCGCCAGAGGGGGGCAGGGGGAGGGGGGAAGCTTTTTAGAAGGAGGCTGCATTTTGGAAGGCTCGGGCCTGCTCCAAAGACGCGAGGCTGACGCCTTCGAAGAAGCAGCCTTCCTCCAAGAAGCTTCCCCCGCTCCCCCCACCTCCTTGCGCGCGCCGCTCATTCTTTGCGCCATGAGCAGGTCGTGGCTCGGGGGCAGAACCACCAGGCCCGCCCGCCGGGGAGAAGGAGTCGTGGCGGAGGAGGCGGAGGAGGAGGAGGAGGAGGAGGAGGAGGAGGAGGAGGAGGAGGAGGAGGAGGAGGAGGAGGAGGAGTGAGGGGGAGTGAGGGGGAGAAGGAGGAGGAGGACAAGGAGGAGGTGGAGGAGGAGGAGGAGGAGGAGGAGGAGGAGGAGGAGGAGGAGGATGGAGGAGGCGAGGACGATGGAGGAGGAGGAAGGAACGAGGAGGAGGAGGGAGGAGGGAAGGAGAGGAGGAGGAGGAGGAGGAGGAGGAGGAGGTAGGGACCCCCGGCCCCGTCCGCCGGGCAGGAACTCCCGGGCGCGCTCTGGCAAGCATGGCGATTAGGAGAGCCCGCCCGTGGCCGCACGGGGGCGCCCCCGGGAGGCCCCAGAGAGCGGTCGGACACGCCCGGATCGCCGACCCGCGATCGCGAACCCTGCTGCGCAGCGGGCAGAGGGGGGAGGCGGAGGCGGAGGAGGAGGCGGAGCAGGAGGAGGAGGAGGAGAGAGGAGGAGGAGGAGGAGGCGGTGAGGAGGAGGAGGAGGGGAGGAGGAGGAGGAGGAGGAGGAGGAGGAGGAGGAGGGGAGGGAGGAGGAGGGGGGGAGGAGGAGGAGGGTAGGGGGAGCGGGAGGAGGAGTACGATGCGAGGACGAGGAGGACGAGGAGGAGGAGGAGGGTACGGAGGAGGACGAGGAAGGAGGAGGAGGAGGAGGAGGAGGGAGGAGGAGTGGGATGGAAAGGAGGAGGAGGGGAGGAGCGAGGAGGAGGAGGAGGAGGAGGAGGAGGGGAGGAGGTGGATGAGGAGGAGGAGGAGGAGGAGGAGGAGGAGGAGGAGGAGGGGAGGAGAGAGGGGAGGAGGCGAAGGAGGAGGAGGAGGAGGTGGAGGAGGAGGAGGAGGAGGAGGAGGAGGGTGAGGGACGGAGGAGGGGGAAGGAGGGGAGGAGGAGGAGGAGGAGGAGAGGAGGAGGAGGAGGGGTGGAGGAGGAGGAGGAGGAGGTGGGGAGGAGAGGGAGGAGGAGTGAGAGGAGGGGAGTAGGAGGAGGAGAGGAGGAGAGGAGGATGGAGGAGGAGGAGGTAGGAGGAGGAGGAGGAGGAGGAGGGAGGAGGCGGAGGAAAGGAGAGGAGGGAGGAGGAGGAGGAGGAGGGGGAGGATGGAGGAGGAGGAGGAGGGGAGGAGGAGGAGGAGGATGGAGAGAGGAGGAGCGAGGTGGAGGAGGAGGAGGAGGCGATGGGCTGCGTCCGAGGACTTGGTGGGCGTCTCCCTCGGGGACGCGGCATCGGGCGCGGTCCTCGTGTGCGTGAAGGAGGGCGGCATCGTCGACAAGTGGAGCAGGAGCAACCCCAGCCGCGCCATCAGGCCGCGGGGGCAGGGTCGAGGGGCCCTGAGAGGAGGAGGAGGAGGAGGAGGAGGAGGAGGAGGAGGAGGAGAAGGAGGAGGAGGAGGGCAGGGTCGAGGGGCCCGGAGACTCGGGCGTCGCAAAAAAAAACAATCTCGACGGCTGGTTTTCGTCGGAGGCCGTCTGGCTTCTAAGAGTCCTGGTTCGGGCTGCGACACCACGCGACATCCCAGAAAGTTTTGAGTTCCCTGCTTTCAGAAATCACAGTCTTTTGAACTCCCTGTGGAGTTCTGGTTCGGGTATAGTCAGAACCCCAGGTACGGGGACCCGGTTAGTAGTTGGGCCCCGGAGCCCCTAAATTGGCCAGAATCACCAAACCAGGTCTGCCGTAGCTGGTGTTTTTCCAGGCGACGGCAGTTCCGGTCAGTGGAACGGGGCGGGGGGGCGTCCCCCAGTACACATCACCAAACCAGGTCCCACTATACCCAGTTCTGCCAACGCCCGACTGGGTGAAAGCGCACGCCAACCAGACCGCTACCAACTGAGCTCGCCGCCAGCGCAGCCGAAGTTCCTCCTCCTCTTCTTCGTCTTCTTCTTCTTCTTTCTTCTATGAATTATTATTATTATTATTATTATTTGTTTCCTTCTTCATTCTTCCGCCTTCTCCTCTCCCTTCCTCCGACACCTTCGTCCTCATTCTCCGTCCTCCCTCCTCATCCCTACACTCACCATCATTCTCTCCCCACTCCTACCTCCTCCTCCTCCTCCTCCTCCTCCTCCTCCTCCTCCTGTTCCTGCTGCTCCTCCTCCTCCTCCTCCTCCTCCTCCTCCTCCTCCTCCTCCTCCTCCTCTGGCAGGCCAAGATCCTTTTATCTCCAGTTGTTCCGTCTGGGGCCTCTGCCTGGCCGCCAGGGGTCCAGGAGCAATGAGAAGCGAGCACGGGTAGAGACGAGCACGACCAGAAACGAGCGACGTGTGTGAGCCCACCGGCTAGTGTCTGAAGGGCATTTTGTTGGTCTGCACGAGATGTTCCTAGAGCATGTGTGGCTGAGACGGGTTCGTTTTAGCACATCGGGCTTATGTTCTAGAGATATTGCCTTCGTTGTTGGAACGTCGCTGGGTTCCAGGCACATTTCGTTTTAGGCCTACAGGGATGCCGGGACGGTCGGTCCATGCTCACGGATGGTGATCACGTCTTGGCTCTTTCCATCTCAGCGCTTCTCCTTCGTTTCTGCCTCTGGGTGCCGCTTTCAGGCCCTGGGGCCATCAACCAACGGATGCGGGCTGAAACGCTTTCCTTGGGCAAGGGGCTGGGGGCCGCAGATTATCGTTGTCGATCTCTGGACCTCTCTCTCTCCTCTCGGGCCTTCCGGGTACTTCGGAGGACCGCCAGGATCAGGCAAGCTGTCGCTACAGAGTGCCCCAGAGCACCCTCAAAGGGCCCCAGAGCGCTCTGGAACGCCCGCGGGCACCCGATGCATCCTTCAGACCCGCTGGCGCTCAGAGATTCCCGCTTTGTCTTCATCCGACTTTGTCCTCATCCTGTCTTCCTCTTATTCGGAGGCATCAGGGGGACCTCCGCGGAGGCCTCGCGGAGGCCTCCTGTCGCCGCTGCCAAGCGGGGACGTCGCCCGAGCCGCGTCAACAGGCCGGGGTACATCATCGAGGAGATCAACGGCGTGCGCGGCTACTGGAACTCGGAGGAAGAAAAGGTACCCATACCGCTGCCCGTCCCTCGATTTTCCCCTCTTTCTGGGCCTCCCGGGAAGCCTTCGTCGCCCCCCGCCTCTTGGCGAGAGTTGCGGGCCACAGCAGTCGGGGCCCTGAAGAAGGAACCCTTTTTGTTGGGGAGGGGCTCCGCGTTCCTTAAGTGTTTCGCAGCTTGCCTCAGGTTTTCCTTATGTTTTCGATCGGAAATCGAAGTTGAACTTATGGGAAAATGGGGCCTCGTTCCTTATTTTGGGTTCCTTAGGTCAAGGCCCCGACTGTAGGGCGAGAGCGACAACCTGCCACCAGCAGGAAGGCACAGCCGCCACGCTCGGTGGAACGCCCCCAGGCGGCCCCGAGGCATACGCGCTGGGAGCCCTGCGCCTGCTCGCCGGCGAGGCATCCCGCCGTTTGCCTCGGGGTCGCCTGTGGGGGCTTTCTGGGAGTAAGCGGAGTGGCCGTTGCAGCCTCCCCCCTGGCGAGGGTTTGGCCGGGCTGGTCAGGACGCGCCCCGGAAGAGGTCCGGGAGGGAAGGAGGAGGAGGAGGAGGAGGAGGAGGAGGAAAGAGAAGGAGGGAGGAGGAGGAGGAGGAGGTAGAGGTAGAAGGAGGAGGTGGGAGGAGGGAGGAGGGAGGAGGAGGAGGAGGCAGGAGGGAGGAGCGAGGAGGGATCAGGGAGGAGGGAGAGAGGAGGGGAGCAGCGGCATCGGTGCACCTGTTGGTTTGCCTAATAGGAACCTGCTGGACGTGCTGCGGAACGAGGGGCCCCTCGTCTTCAAGGTCGCCACCGTGCCCCCCGCATCGGCTGGCCCCGACTGGTTCGAGGAGATCGCGGCCACGGCGAAGGATCAAGCAGTGGCGAAGCGTCCTGGCTCGCCTATAGGCCCACCTAGGAATGTTCTAAGAACCTTTTGTGGTTTCCACGAAT